TATTATATTTTTTGATTGTATATTTATAATAAAAATATACTTTGTTATATAGTTTCGATAATGAATAAAAAATGCCGCGGACACGAAAATAATAGAAAGGACACCATATACACAGGAGGACGTCCTTTATAACGGGAGGACGTCCCTAAACCACAAAGGACGTCTTTCGGCCTATATTCCCGTCCTTCGTCCCCATGTCCATCCTTTCTCTTAAGTTAATAATATATTAAGTTTTTTAACTCAAAAATAAAATAAATAAATAAATCAACTATAATTTATTTAACAATATTTCTACTTATTTAACACGTTCAAAATGTTTTTTTATATAAACATTGAATATATAATAAAAAATAATAATTTTGTTAAATTATAATAATTTTTGAAAATGAAATATAACACATTCTTTTTGCACACTATCATTTTTTTTCAATTGATAATGTAGACACTTTAAAAAATTTTTTGGTAAGTAATAATAATTTCATTTTTAATATTTATTATTGTTATTAAAATACTTGTAAATGGTCATAATAAAACAATTCGATACAAAAATAATTTGATGTAGTTATATAATAATAAATTCCAATCATAAGCTTTTGATGGAAGTAAATAATGCCAAAAGATATCAAAATAAGATTAAATTTGTTTTGTTAACATTTTTTCTATTTTTGGAACTATTTCGTTAATGGTGAGTCTTTTTTCTGGTTGTGAATACCAACATTTTTCAATGATATTGAACTCATCATCTGTTATATTTCCTTTCTTTAATAAATGGTTTCCATTTGTGACAAAGTTTGCTATACTCCATGCAAATTTAAATTCATTTTTGGGATAAGGCTCTTTCCACCCAAATATTTCATACATTGTTATGGCAAACGAAAATATATCACTAGGCATTTTATATTTTTCTTTGTTCAAAACCTCAGGAGCCATATATTTTGGTGTTCCAATACCATTGGTGAAAGTCATATTAGTCATTAATAAATTCACATTTCTTGCACTTCCAAAATCAGTCAATTTCGCGATGATTTGTGTTGAAAAATATAACGAAAAAATTAATAAATTGTCGGGTTTGATATCTCTATGAACAACCCCATTGTTGTGTAGATAATATATACCTTTTGCCATGTCTAACATAAACTTTTCACACAACTTTTTTGTTACACACTTTTTGCTTTGTAAATTTTTATTTGTATTAATATAATCATCTTGTAAAACATATTCATGTAACAAATCCTTCAAAGACCCATATTGAGCAAATTCGGTAACAAGACAGATTTTGTTTGGTATGAATACAGCTCCATAAAAGTAAACTATATAATCACTTCGAAATTTATCCAACATTTGTACTTCTTTTTCAAATTCTTTTATACTAGTATCATCATCACACCCACTTTTAAGTCTTTTAATAGCAACACTCTCACCTCGGAATATGCCTTTATAAACAATTCCAAAAGATCCTTCGCCAAGTTTCTTTGATTCAATAAGTTCATAATTATTTAATTTGGTTGTTAATATGGTTTTTGCTTTAATTTTTATTGGTGAAGTGGTTTGCTCCCCTTTCTTGATGTCAAGTGAAATACATAAAATTTCGTCGTTAATTTGACATGAACAATAAGGTTTCAAAAATATTTCAAATTCACAAGCTTCATTTCTTTTAAGTGTAATTAAAGTTGGCACTGTTCTAATTAAATATATATCACATCCAGATTTCACACTAAATTGAATTTTCTGTTTATTTTTTGAAACGTTACCAACACAGAAAAGTGCTCGAGTTTCTTGATCGACTGGGATATCGGTACTATCTTTGTTTTCAATTGGTTCATTTTCAAAAATTATTTCTGGTTGGTTTGAAACTAAATTTTGTGTCAATTTTGAGAATAAAATGTTGGACTTTTTCATATCAAATACACAAACGTTTTTCATTTGGTTCTTTTCCTTTCTGTGTACTCGCATTATATAAAATACAAATATGAAAACAGAGAAAATAACAAATGTGACTAACACGAGAACAACGGGCAATGCAATAACCAATTTCAAATTAATTTGATCAACACAATACGTCCCATCTGTTGAAACTTTTTTGTTATTACCACATTTTGTACAAACTGAATTTTCAGCTGAAAGACAAAATGTAATTTCAGAAACTGATTTGCAATGATTATCAACTAAGACAAAATTAATATCACATATTAAACACGTTTCTTCTGATGAACACAATAAACAATTCATGGAACATTCGTAACATCGAGGAATAACTTTACCTAAATAATACCCATTGGAACACTGCAAACAACCACTTGAAGTCTTTTTAACACAATTGGTAAGTGATTCATAACTTTTACACAAATAACTTTCACTGAGTATTTGATAATAATTTTCTTTACAAGATAAACACTTTGAAATTTCTTGACATGTCGAACAGGTTGAATCACATCGAAGACAGTCATTTTGATCTTGATAATATCCATCATTACAAATTACACACCCTCTTTGTGAAGGAAGCATCATTGTACACCGTTTTGCCAATTCACTTGCTAATTCACAAATATGGTTTTTGTTTAGAAAATAAACTGAAGTGTCACAAGTTATGCAAAAGGTTGAGTTGAAACAGGTTAAACATTTTGATGTTGTATAATTACAAGAAAGACAATCATTTGAAAACAAATCCAAATAATAAGTATTTGAACATTTTAAACACCCTTTTGTTGTTTGAATTTCGCAATTATTTATAACGTTTCCTATTTTTGTTTTCATTGTTTTATGATATGTCGTTGTTGAAGAATTTAAAATACACCCTCCTTTTGTAAGAAAATAATTATCCGAACACTCCAAAATTGTTGACACTTCTTCGGAACTTTGTGTTGTGTATTTGATTATTTTATCAGTCGGCACACAACAAGTTGTATTTTTTATGTTTGAATTACGAACATAACTCGGAAAACACTGTATACACGAATAATTGTTTGATTTTTCACAATTCAATGTTGATAATTTAATACAAGTCTCTTCTTTTAATAAAAATCCTTCCGAACAAATAACACAAGTGTTTTGATTGTATTTTGCACAATTATTGAGAATGTTCAATTTACATTTATTATGTTCTATTGTATAATGGAAAAATTTGGAACATTCTACGCAGTCATTGGATGATATTTTAATACAGTTTTCATCAGCAAAACAATTTTGATTTATAACATCTATAATGAAATTTTTTACACAAAACAAAGCATTTAATGTATTTTTTATGAGTTTGCATTTTTCAAATGAATGAATAGAACAATTCTGACAATTGTTGTTGTTATCAATGTACTCACCGTTTTTACATGTGTAATATTTGTTGTTTCTGGTCAATCTTTTTTCGTTTGATATATCAGTACAACTATTATTTTGGAAGATTATAGTGTTATCTTTGCATTGTAAACATTTTGCTCTTTCTTCCAATTTCGTTGAATAATAATACTTGCAGTTATCAATAGAAATATCACATTTATCTACAAGTGAAATACCATAATTACAATTTTCACAAATAACGTTTCCTTTTGTAATACAATTTGTATCCATTAAATTGGATTCACAACTCATGTTTTGAAGATAATTGTCAATATCACATTTTAAACACATACTTTTATTTATTCTTTCCAAACAATCATCACCATTGATTGTACAAACTTTATTTAAAAAGTATTCTTTTTCGCCACATTTTTGACAAGTTTTAGTACTCAAATTCAGAACAAAAGGTTCATAACAACTATCACAAATTGCTTTGAAATTTGCATCACCATGACACATCTTACAATTATTTATAACATTAGAACACATGTAACATATATTTGGCGAACTAAGATAATATCCATTTTTACATACACATATACCTTTCAATAATTCAAAATTTCCCACACATTCATGGCACAGTTTATTGGTTTGACTACAATTAAAGCAATTCGGTATATCAGAGCATGGGTGGCATGTGTTGTTTTCTAAGAAATAACCATATGTACATTCAATACAACCATCTTTTGGTAAACACTTTGTTTCTGAACAGTGAGTATCGCAAGTTTTACACTGGTTTGAGTCAATATATTTTCCCTGTGAACAACTAAGACAATTTAAACTCGAATTACCATTACAACTCTCACATGAAGAATCACATGGAAAGCAATTGTATCCATTTCTATAGTAATTTATTGAAACGCATTCAGTGCAGCCATCAGTTTTACAAGACCCACTTTTGCAATTGATACATTCAATGCACTGACCATTACTAAGATATCTTTTCCCCGATACACAAGTATTACATTGGTTATATTCGCTTCCATAACAGGTCTCACATGTCGAGTTACATAAAGAGCACGTGTTTTCTGTTAAGTAATATCCACTGATACATGATTCACAACTCCCGTTGTTACCTGGGTCGAAACACGTGTTGCATGGAGAGGAACATCGTGTACATGTATATTGATGCAAGTAAAAACTAGTATAACACTTACTACAGTTCCCATTCACTCCTGGATAATAACACGCAGAACAAGGGAAAGGACAATAATTACAAGTTTTTTTACTTGTATCATAATAATAATTTTCTTTGCATGAGAAACATGTAGTTGATGAATAACCATTACATGAAGCGCATCCAGTATAACAAGGATCACATTTTTTCCCGTTTTTAAAAAAACCCTGTGAACAAGTACTACAATACAAACCATTATTATCACTTGTACAAGAAGTACAATTTGTGTAATCACCACAATTAATTTGTTTTACAATCGTTTGCAAATTTTGAGATAATATGTATCGTGATTCTGTAACACGTTCTTTTAATCTTTTTTTTAATGATAAAAACAATATATGGTTTCGTATTTTTGTCGAAAACAATAATAATGTTGTTTTGTCGTAGTTATCAACAAAAAGTTCACTGGAAATGTTGCAATAAAAAGTAAAATGACCATTTGTTTGTTTTAATAAATTAATTTTATTGCCTACAACACTCCACTCTTGTTTATTTGGACAATTTTTATTAACTTCAACGCAACTGAAGTTGTTATTTAATTTACACCATTTCACCCGTTCAAATGATGTTGTTAAAGAAATTAAAATGAAAAGTATGTTTGTTGACATTTGTCTCAATATTGAATTTATTGTTCATTTTTTATAAAAAACAAAAAGTCATTTAATTTTAATAAAGTTATAATTAAAATACATAAAATATAATTTTAATGTTTTTGTAAAAAAATTACTTACAAAAAACAACAATTAAAAGCACATTTTTATCAAAAAACATGAAATTATGTAAATGTCGAATTAAAAACATTTTTGTTCTATGCAAATACAATAGGGAAAATGAAACTTATTCCAGGAAATGTACTTTAGCCCAGAGAAGTACCTATATTTTTTAAAAAAATACGGGTTCTTACTAAAAAACAAATATTTTGGAAAATTGACTTATATATATGTATAGTTTATAAGTTTAATATAACAATAGAAAATAATTGGTTTTTCTTTGGGTTAATTTGCTGGGCAAAGTTTAATAGCCCAACTGTACATATTTAATTGCCGATATGATTTCGAACAATAATTATTTTATCAAATGTAGTTTCGTTTAATGAATTAATAACTATTCAGATACAATACAAAAAAGATATTATAAAATAATTAAAAAATACAAAAATTGATAATTACTATAATTCATAACTATTTAACCAAATAATTATAATAGTATTTACAAATATTTTTTAACAACTTCAGTGCACGGAGGGAAAGCACAATCCCCCATTTCTTCAACACACGTAGGCAATACAATTGATTTTAAAGAAAAACACTTTTCAAAAGCATGTCTTTCTATGATTTTGACGTTTTTCCCAAATTTGGCCATTTTCAAGTTCCGACAATTCACAAAAGCTCTTTCTCCTATCTCAACAATTCCGTCATTAACTATGGCACTTTTTAAAGAAGTACACTCAGAAAAAGCATATATCTCAATTCTTGTGACACCACTTGGAATAGTTATTTCACTAAGCGCTCCACACTCAGAAAAACATCCTTTTGGTATTTCTGTTATTTCATCTGGAAGCGAAACTCTCTTCAAATTTACACACTTCGCAAAACAGCCATTGCCAATATGATTTACTCCTTTTGGAATCACAAGATTTTCAAGTGCACTACACTCACAGAAACAGAAACTTGAGAGGTTTTGCAAATTATTAGGTAATTTAATGGAAGAAAGTGCTGAGCACTGTCTGAAACATTCCTCACCAAGTGACGTAACTTTGTCAGGAATTTCAATTGAAGTGACTTCTTCATATCCAAAACATTCTGCATCGTATGAAGTGACTTCTAGAGCTATTGGATCGTCTATTGTGTATCTATCATCAACTCCATATGAAATGTTCTTGTATATGCAGTTTGTTGGTTGTCGTGACTCATAGAAAGAGTACGTCACTTTGCACCAAACGATAACACGATAAAAGTTCAGTTTTGTCACGTCAGTAGTATGAGTTGTTTGTTTGGTGCCAAAAATATTGTTGCCAAAAGTCTCTTCACATTCTTCCCAAATGTTGAGTGATTCAAGACGGGGAAAATGTTTGAGTATCTTTTGTGTGAGGGGAATGGGGTTGATGTGAAATCGTGCTGCTGTGTTTCGGTATTTTGAATTGACCATTTCGATGTTCATAAAGTCGGAAATTGAACGAAAATATTTGGCTACTATCATTAGTGAATATCCATCGAGGAGTCCCATCGATATAAATAATATTATCAGTTTGTTTATATTTCATTTCAAAATTCATAATAAAAGTCTACACAACCCAATCAAAACTAAAACGTCAAAAATGTTTATTTTTGTGATGAGGTAAATCAACAGAATATCTTTAAAAATGTAAAAAAATGTTTACATAAAATAAATTGTTTTTTAAATTACTTTGTATTAAATTGTTTTAAAAAATAATAACATTTTTTGAGCTTTATTTCAATATTTTTATTTATATTTAAATTATATTTAAATAATATTTTGATATAATAATAATGATAAAAATATACTTTATTATATTATTAACAATTTAAATATTTATCATTAAATTAACAATTAACAACAATTTTTACAAAAATTTTTACAAATAAAATTTTTTAGATTATATTATTTAATATGTTACCTATTATATTATAGTTTAAAAAATGTTATTTTATTAATTTAAAAAAGAACCTTTATTAAGTAGCTTTCGTCATTAATGATTGATTTTAGTTAATGTAACAATTTTAATAATACCAATTACCACTTAATTTTTGCTATAAAAATAATATAATCTAATTTATTAATATATAAAACTATTATTAAAAATAGAAAGTAAAAATAATTAAATTTTACTTGGCACAGCAACATGGAACTACCATGACAATGATATGTTTGCAAATTGCTTCTCGCAAAATTGCTTGCACTTCATCTCTTTTCTTGATACTTTCTTCACAGCATCCACAACACTTTCCTTCAATTTGAATCAAAACAGCAACACCTCCTTCACTTTCTTTTATATCAAAAATATTGATTTTGTTTTCTTTGCAGCACCCAATTTTCTCATTGAAAACTTCGTTAATTTTCATTACTTTCTGATAAAAAGTTGCTTTTTCGCATGTTTTTTCACATGTTTTGGTACATTCCATTTCGGCTCTCGTCTCTCTCAAAATGTCTTCTAAATAATACTTTCTTGAATATTCACCAGCTCCAGCTCGTTGGCATGATCCACAAAAAGACCCGGCGTTGGTTTCTTTCGTGATTTCTTCAACAGTTTTTAAATCTTTTTCTTTGATTGCCGTTTTAATAGTCGCGAGTGGTATATTACCACATAAACACACCAAATCCTCATTTTCAATATCACAAAGTTTTTTTCCTGTGTAAATTGAAATTGCTCTTTGAATGGTTCTATAAAAGAATGAGGTCGAAAAAATTGGCTCTTTGGGCACTTTTGGTTCTTGAAGTTGTTTCTCGATGTCCAAGTTTTTAATCATAAGTAAATCGGTCATCTTCTTGCCTATACAAAGTCCACATAACACATCAGCCAAAACTCCAAACTTGGCGCACCCAAACATTTGATATTTGGCATCGATTACTTTGCTTTCTGAATCTACAAGTAAAGAGAGACGAATAGCATTTCCACAACACTTAGAATGATAGTCTGCAACAATCAACTTTTCATCTTTCACACACCTTGGACAAAATTCACCTTGATGCTCTGGGTGTTCCATGTGGTGTGCAAATTTGCAGTTACAACTACACTCTGGCTTCGACATTGTTTTGTGAATTTAACTTATCTTCTTCAACTTTATATTAAAACAACCACGTCACTTTTTATAATTTCAAAGAAAATAATTAACTAACACAAAAAGTGGTGTATTATTCGATAAAAACTTTAAAATTATGGTTTATTGAAGAATCTTAAATTTAATTTCGAGAACTTTTTATTAAATTAGAACACTTGTTGAAATATTTGATTTGTCATTTTGAAAGAACTTCACAATTCTTATATTTTTTGTAAGTGGTTGAAACTATAACAAGAATCCGAATGACCAACTTGGTTATTTTGCCGAATTTTGGTTGGGTTTTATCAGAATGCAGACACCAATTTTTTTACAACCAAAAACCGAAGATAAAACCGATTCAAAAACTTAAAAAGGGGTAGCTACTTTTTGTTTCAAAAATAGTTAATAATCCAAAACAGCCCATTTAAAGAACCGAAAGAAACAAAACCTAATGATGTCTTTGTTTAAAATATAAAACACAAAACTGTCTCAAAAAAATTATTATGAACGTTAAGGAAAAAAAAGAGACATGTCAAAATTTTCAAAAAAGAAAAACCAAAACACTTGTTTTCAAACCAATTTATAAAATACATTTTGAACAAGTTGTGATGTATTGTAAAAATAATTTAAACAGCTTGTTTTATTAATTATAATTAATAGTTAAATTCTTGTTAAAAAACGTATATGAATTAGGTCAATTTATAATTAAAATTATAATACATAATAGTATTATTACCTGGTTGCTAGACACAGTTAATTCGACTTGAACTTTCAACAATCAAATTCTTTGTAAAACCTTTTGCTTTTTAAGTGGCGACAACCATTTCCTTCATCTCTTTGATGGCAACAACATTTCCTCGATATGTTCCTTTGAACACAATCCCAAAGCTTCCTTCTCTGAGTTTTCGTACTTTTTTCAACTCGTCTGGGTCAAGTGCTGTCGACATTTCTGACGCAAATTTGACTGGAATTTTTATCTCTGATATTTTGCCTTTGTTGATGTTTAAGACTGAACAAGTGATGTCAACAGTCTTTTTTTAAGTGTACACAGCGGATGGACAGCAACAGTAAATTCAACAGCACGACCTTTCTTGATACTCACTGGTATGGAAGGTTTAACATTCAACTCAAACTTTTCCTTGTCATTTTGTGTCGTGAATTGAATTTTCAATAAAGACGTTCTGTCGTTGCCAATCATAAATTTGCATTCGCCGTCTTTCTGAACTGCAATTTCGCCTTCAAAATGCGTTTTTTGAGTGCCAATATATATGATATCAACTTCTTTCTTTTTTAAATCTTTCAACAAAAATTCGTTCACAAGAAAATAATGAGACAAACCAATTCATGTGATTCAAAGACTTTTTCGCTGCAAAAATAGGTAAACAAAAGGCAGTTGAATGGTGCAACCCAAAAAACTAATTGAGAAAATTTGTGCAACTTTAGTTATAGTTTAGTTATAGTATAATAATTAGAGTAATAGTTTTAAAGAAATTTGTTTGTGTTTTTTATTGTTCTGTTTTTAAAAAACATATAATTTTTTTACTATAATTATACTATAAACAAAGTTGCACTGACACGTAAAAGTTGCACGGTTTTAAGAATGACTTTAATCTCCAAAATTCAAAACGATAATATCTGATCAGGTATTTAAAGAAGAAGATGACACAACTGATCATTAAAAACTAAAAGTTGAAACAACAACAGTTTGTGTTGTTTTTTTGTTTTTTATAAATCAATATCGAATTAAATAATAAAATTAACATTGAATATTATGACGAAATGTTTAATTTCAGCGGCAGTTGTCGGGGTTGGTATTGTTGGAAAAAAATAAATACAGACTAGTTTTTCTCTTTTATCTTAAGAGTTTTTATGTTTGTTTACTAACACCACTCTATGAATTCACACATTTTATCAACTGTGTGAATAAAGTTGATAAAATGTCGCGTCAAATTGCGACGAATTGTTTATTACAAACGTTCGTCGTTTTAGCATTCTGTTTTTTTTCATTGTAAAACACTCGAAAATGGTTTGAAATAACAACAATTTGAATATCTAAATGATTTTTTGTTATCATTTGAATATTAATTTTACCAATATCACAAGGATAAAAATCCACAAAAAGTTCAAACAACTTTTTTCCTTTTTTTCTGTTTTTTACACACAGCAAAGAATAAAACATTAACTTTTTTAGTTTTTTTCATTTAAAACAGAAAAAAGAAAGCTTTAATGTGTAAAAAAATTGTTTATAAAATAACAAAAACACCATTATATTTACAAAATAAATAATACTATTAAATGTTACTAAATATTAAATATTTTCTTTTGTGATGATTGTAAAGGTTTGAAATAATGAAATTGGGGCCATATTATCGAATCGATTTGATTTACAATTAAAAACTATGAAATTACCAATCAATTTCGATTTTAATTGTTTGTTATGATTGTTATTTCAATGACAATATAACAACTTATTAAATTGTTATTTTCAAAATAAAAACTAATTAAATAAGTCAAACCTCATGTCATATATTGAAGACGAATTCACGGCTTTTTGTGAAAAAAATGATTCATTCTGTATGTTAGACCATTCGACATCCAAACACGTTTTTCATGTGTTATACATTCCAGACGATAAAGAATTTACGTTACAATATCCAAATGGTACACCAAGTCAATATGATATCAAAATATCAGGAAAGAAGTATGAGCACGTGGTTAATCGTACAAAAACAACTTGGTCACTCATACCTCCAACTGATTTGACCGACGCTTTAACTCAAACAGCCAAATTTTTAAAAGAAGAAAAACAACATCAAGAAGACTTGAAAAATGATCCTTTTCTTAAACGCAAAAATTTGAGCGACCGCCTCGATGCTCAAAGAAAAGTAGCCCTTGAATCGGAAACGCAGATCTTTGCATTTGATACCGAAATAGCATATCAAAATTTAAAAGAAGATATTATTCAATCGTTCTTTGATGAAAAGAAATTCGGATTTCTCATTCAACCAGTCAACGATAATCCATATCATTGGATAGTTTCATATAAAAACTTTAATTCGACATGGGACATATATTCTGATATGGAAAAAATGATGACTTTGTCCGCAAGAGACTCAATAGAACTTGAATTGGAATTCTCATCGACAATGTTTCCAGTCATCCCACCAAAGTACAATTTTCTTTCGCCAAAATTAACACAAGAATCTTTGAAGAAAATATTTAAGTCGGGTGCATTTGAAAAGGATGTCTACAACCCACTAACAAAGATAATGTTTTTGACAAATATCAGAAATGTTATTGAAAAGTTTGCACGAATCGATTTTGGAAAAAACAACAAAACGATTTCTGACTATCGAAACGAAAATAATATGTATGAGCAACAACTGGCCAAACCACTGTTAGGCCAATTAGTTCAATTGGGAAAAGATTTTATTGAAAATACAACAACAAGGTATAAAACACAGTATAATGGGTTTCAATTTCAGAAAAGTAATTCAATTCAATTCAACAACTTTTTGCTGGAAAACAGTTTGTCGTACCAACGCTTCATCAAGTCTATTGAAAAATTCGGGATGGAATCCATCCAAAGTTCTGGCTTCTTTTGTTGGCATGGGAGTGACGACAACTGTATACAATCGATTTGTAAGAATGGATTTGATCCACATAGAAGAGCGGGACAGGCGTACGGACCAGGTGAATATTTTGCAAAAGAACCAGCTACATCGATGGGATATACAAAGGGAAATAATCACTTAATTTTAACATATGTTTTAAGACCTAAGGATAAAAAAATATTGAAAGACACTTCTGGTATTTACGTTGTTAATAACCCGACAGATTGGTCATATTCATATTGTTTACCAGTACTTGTGATTACTTTTGGTTTTGGAAAACCAGTCAACTTCTTGGACAAATCTATTAATTAAGTCGTATTATTTTGTTTGAATTGTACCAAAATCTATGATAAAGTCAGTCCAGAAATTTAATGTAAAACCCCCTTTTCATGACCCATCAACAACAAGATATAGAGTTTCTAATAAAGATATGTGGATTGTCCACCACAACTAAAATTTCACAACAACACTTTTTTCCTCTCAGTTTATTTTTCAGCTGCTTCGCTATATATTTCCAGAACATGTACATGAAAAAAATGGGTCATTATAGTTTCTTTTTCTCTTTTTTAAGAGTGTTAACGTGATAGGGTGTATATCCCATAGATGCCTAATAGCATTAATTTTCATAATTATTTTTTTAAAAAAATGATGATAATAATAGACAATTTCTAAATTATTTTAATAACAAATATAATTATTTCTTTGCATAAAACACCGATAACAATATTAATAGAACAATTTCAAATATTTAATTAACAACAACTTTAAAAATTCGATATTTTTGACAATGATCTTTGAATGTTTTTTGTCGTTTTTCAATTTGTAAAAATTGGCTCATTTTAACTATTTTTTCGGGAAACACTAGCATTTCTTGAGTAATGCAAACTATTTTTGTAAAAAACTGAAAACAGTACTACTATTATGACAACGATAATTAGAGAGTTTTTAACGAGCAATCAACATGTTTAGAATTATTAATTCAATCGTTCGC